ATCGCATCCAAGGAGCTCGGATACAGGGCCGGAAACAGCCGCAACCGCGACCTACAAAGTATTTAGTCAGGACACTTGGCCGAGGTTTAGGAAGGTGTGGACCTAAAGTTTAGGGGTTTAGGGTATATTGGTTTAGGGGATTTAGAGCTTAGGGTTTATTGGTTTAGGGTTTAGAGTTTAGGGTTTAGGGAGGAGGGTTAATCAGGGTTAAGTGAGTAGGAGCCGCTTCGACAAGGAAAGGTGTTCCTTGTTTTCATTTGCATGGAGAGTTAGGCAAATAGAAAAGGTCTATAACTTAGGTGGACCCCCCGCCCAGAAATAGTGATTATAGGGGATAATAGGGATTATATTAGGGTCCTCTTATATTCCCCATTATACCACTATTACAGGGTGGGGGGTCCTCCTAATCTATAGCTGGAGCCTTGTGAACAGTTGAAAGGGGTCACCAGCAAAGCTGCCGTAAGGAGGATCCCTGATTAATAAATTTCCTACTTTTAAGGGACTTAATATTAGGATCCCTATTGTAATCACTGTTAAGGGGAGGGGGTTCATTAATCATGGGTCTATAGTAAGGAGGAAAACTGCACAGTGTGCACTTTACGAGACAATTGCTGGCAATGAATATAGGGGGTGCAAGACCAGAAGGTGGACAACAAAGAACTGAAAGTAGCAGTAGCTTGCTCTGCTCAAATTTCAAAAGCCAAGGACAAGCTTGAGTCATCATATGAGCTACAGTCAAAATTTCTTTCTGTAGTTGATGGACAAAAGTTCGTATAAGGGAACCTTTAACGGACCATACTAAAATACACTACCAAAGGGACCCCTATGTCCACCTTTCACGATCCCTTGATACCTGTCAGCAGCTCATGTAGAACCCCACCATGGAGGAATCTTTTCAACAACGCAAGCCCCAGTTGGCCATAAGTCCCGGATAGGAACCACTCGTGGTTGCCTGAAGCTCACACCGTCAAGTGGCCTCAAGCGTCGCGTCTGCTGCCCCGTGCCAATTCTTGTGGTCCTGGATGTTGGGGAATTGGGTTCAGGACTCATCCTTTTTGGCTGCTGCTGCTGCTACGAGATGCCACATGAGCGGAGTTGATCCTCTGCTGCTCAAACGGCACAGGTGTGAACATAACTTCCATCACCAGGGCCCTCCGATTAACCCATGGAGGGTCATTACTGTAGCGCGTACGAGACTCTCATATAGGGTGTCATAGGGTTATATATAAGTCATATAGGGCCATATAAGGTTCTAGAAGGTTATATATGAGGTCAGAAAGGGTTATATAAGTTATATGAGGTCAAACAGGTTTATCATAAGTCATATACATATCTGGTTTGTTCTCAAAATTATGGGCCTCTTTTGGGTGTATATTATATTACGGCACCCAATAGTTAGCGGTATCAAAATGGAACCCTACAAGGTTATGGGAACATTTCATGAGCTCCGGCTTCCTCAAACATCCCATACCCTAAACCCTAAACCCTAAATCCTAAACTGCCGCCTTTGATGGGGAATGTGCTGCAAGGCTCCCAAAACCATAGCCTTGATGGAAGACATCATATCGGGGTTTCCCAAAATTAGGGGTACCTTTTTGGGGGTCTCTATAGTAGGGATTATAATATATTGGGGTCCATATTGGGGTCCCCCCTATTTTGGGAAACTACCATATACAGGGCTTATATGTCCGTATGCCCTGCTGACCACTTGTAAGTAATTTTCTTCACCCATCCTTGTTAAGCACCCGACCCTCTGATCCTTACTGCCCTCTCTCAAGGCTGATTCTTGCTCTGACAGCTCTACTACCCTCCCTCCCAATCCCTAAACTCGAAACTCTAAACACCCAAACCTAAACCCTAGACACCACGCTGTAAGCCTCAGACCCTGCACAGCAGAAGCATGCTTTTTTCGGATGCCAGGCCGCTTTCTATCTGCGCTGCTGCTATACATCCGTCTTGAACCACCTCTCTACCTACAAGTAAGGCTCATGTGGACCCTCCAATATGGGCCATTTTGGGCTTGAAGGCAATTACAAGGTCTGGGCTGAGAATTTGCATTTTAGCTTTGAAGGCTTTGGATTTAGAGTTAAGGATTGTGTACGGGTGACATACAACATGAAACAGCTTGCATGGTGCATACTCCAGACCGTTGTATGGTGTAGGGTTTAGGGACACGCGAACCCCGCTATGAGGAAGCTCCCTCCACCCTGATCCATAACATATTCTCTTCCTGCTGATAGCTTACACGTTGCAGCTTGTGCATTCCTCATTGGGGTTTACTTACTTAGAAACTATCCTTGTCCTTCAGATAAACAACTGTCCTCATTTTAGACCCGGCTCAAGAACCTTTTTTGGACATGGCAGAAAATGAATGAGCTAGGCTACTGACTAAGATGGTGACCCGCTCTTCCTAATAACGAAAGCATCCACCCCCCTTTATAGTCCTATTATACACTACTACTGAACCTTAAACCGTAGAATAGCCAGAGTTGTTATTGCTGGGGGGTGATGATCACTAGAGGGTATCATGTAGCTTTTAGGTGGACACCCCCACCCTGAACTAGTTGCTAGAGGGGAGCCTAAATTGTATTAGGGTCCTCCTAGATTCCTGTTATATACCTATTGCAGGGCAGGAGTTCTCTTAATGTAACTTCCTTAAACCTCGTTTGCAGACAAGCGCATCCCAGTCTTTTGGGGAGCTTCTCTTCTTTCAAATCGCCCGCAATCTCCTTGCTGGTTGTTAGCAAAAAATGAAGGAATGGATCCTTATAGTAGCCCTTGCGCAATTGCCAATGATATTGTTTAGAAACCCTAAACCCTAAACCCTTCATTCCCTGGTGGCCACCGGCCAGTCACAAGCCTTGTTCTTGTGCCATCTCTGTTACTCAGGCTCCAGTCGGACGGGCTGATGTCGATCCAGCCTTCGCAGAAGACGTGGGGAAGCAGATTCCGGCAAGCTCCCACTTGAAGGTCCCTTAGCTGTGTAAAGGCTACAGCAACAGAAACAGGGTTTGCGGTCAAATTGAAGAGTTCAGTTTAGTAGGGGCGCAATCAAAGATTGAGAGGTGCCTCAAGGTTGGAGCTCTTTGGTTTAGGGTTTAGGGTTTAGTGGTTTAGGGTTTAGGGACTCAACGTGCTTACGTAACACACACCTGATACCCTAAAACTTAGACCCCTCAAAGGAACACCCTAAACCCTAAATGTCCAATGTTGCAGGCACGGGTTCACAAGCACTCCAGGCAAAGGTTCACGGTTTGAGGCTATCTAAGGTTTAGGGTTTAGGGTTTAGGGTTTTTATTCAACAACACCCAATCCCCCCCCACCCCTTTATGAATAAACACTGTCCCTACAACAGTAGTATGTGTGATGGTTGTATACCGAGGGGTATACACAACTAGGGGATGGGGTAAGGGTAGCTAGTTGATATTTGCGGCTTTCATCTACCGGGCATGGAGCTACCCAAAGACGTCTGCACTTTGGGGCTAAGCAGCTTCGACTTGTTGTCTTCTCGAAAAAATGTAGAGGCCTGAATGATTACTAAAACCATGTTAAGATCTATTTGAGGTACCCTGCCCTAAAACCTAAGCCCTACCCTACTCAAAATTACTGGGAACCTAGGGCCATGAGATTAGCAATCATTTATGCATGCTTCTACACTAACCATGACACTGAAGCTTTGACCTGAACCTCCCTCCCTCAGAGATTTCAGCTCTAGCTGCACTGGGTGGTGCTTTAAAGGCCTCCAACATGATTTATGAATAGGTTCCCGTATGCAACCATAGAGGATATTAAGCCTCATCCCGAAATGGCAGCTACCCTCCTGCAAACTAACATGGAACCTGAAAACGGGCCCTAGAAAGACTGCTGGCCCCAAACCCTGGACCGCGCTTAAAAGGAGTGTCCATTCGGTTCCAGGTTAGATTTGGAAAGGGTTTGGGGTTTAGGGTGGGACTGCCACAATCTCCAAGCTAAAGGCCAAGCCCCGCGGGCGTGGGGTGACTCAACAAGAAAGGTATAAACTTGACAGCCCACCCCCCCCCCCCCACATATGATATGTAATACGATAATTACTACTACTGATATTAACCAGAATCTAATTGAAATCATGACCGTAGTTAGTTATTAACTGTAAAAAGCATATGAATGTAGACAGGGCTCAGCGTGATAATACATCGACAACGTTTTCTGCAAATGAAGCCATGCTTCACAGCTTTGTCAGGCGGAGGATCGGAGGCCTGGCTTGTAAGGTTTAGGAGGGGTCTGGGAGTTAGTTGTTTGAGCCCTAATACCTAAACCTCAAGGTTCCGGATCGGGATTTAGGGTTTGGGGCTGCAAGGTCTTCTTACAGACAAAGCCAAGCAATTTGGAGGGCCCGCCAGATCAGGATCTAATTTCCCGTAATGCCATGGCACAAAGAATTACCAATATCATTTTCAGGTCTGTCTGAGGTCTCCTATACCTAAACCCTAAACCCTAAATAGTAGTTTCCATTTTCTTCTCCATTATCCCTATATAACCCCAATATAACCCTAATTAAGGGGGACTATAACACCATACATGGGAATTAGGACCCCAAAGCTGGTTAGTATTTAGACCCGTGACCTATCCAAACAGGTCTGGGTTTAGGGTTCAGGGTTCGGGCCATGCGAACCGCAAACATACTGGCATGAGTGGTCAACCACACCTCATCAAGCAGATTCTGAACTTACGAGCTACCCATGATGCAAATTCTCAGCTGTTTTGTCAGCCGCGGCATAGTCTCGTCTATTCCACGACAGGGCTTGACATCATCGTGTCGTCCCGACGTGTAGTAAGAAGAGACAGTGTCCGTTTTGGCCAGTTAGCCAGGACAGAGGGAATCAATTTTCGCAATGGTTTCTATTGATGACTTTCTTGAGCAGTCCTCACTCACGATCGGTTCCCTCTTTGTTTTGTCCTCGCAAATTTGGGGGTGCGGTGGGTGTAGCCCCAAACCCTAAACCTGAAACCTTCTGGCTTGTTCAATAGTAGGTCAGCCCAGGCCCGAAGCGAAAGATCGAGGGTGGGCCGCTGACACGATGGGGTGCTCCTCGCCTGGGCATGATGTTTAGGGGTGTAGGGGTTTTACGGTTTAGTGGTTTAGGGTTAAGGAACATAATGCTTAAGGGTGTAGGGTTTTTAAGGTTCAGGGTTTAGAGTTTAGGGGTTTAGGCTTTTTCGGGCTTAGGAGGGTTTAGGGTTGTTGTGGGGGTTTCCAAATAAAAGGAACAATTCCCTAGAATGTGGATTGCAATACCAGGCGGTCCATATTTGGGCATACCATTCATGGAAGCACGCATGTAATGGGCTGAGACTTTCAGGATCTTAGCGAGGACTGGGTAGATCACGTTTGCAAATCTAATTTATCGAGGGCTGTGCCGAAAGAGCTATCTGCAATCCCCTGCTCTAAAACTATCCCAGAGGGTCCACATATACAACCACAAGGGAATTAGGCCCCAAAATACCATACTATAGAAGGAATTATGGGTCCCAATTCCCTGAAGGTTGAATTATGTGTGGACCCTCTGGGTATCCCACCAAATTGACCATCTTCGCTCAGACCCCCTCCCGAATTCTGTCCAAAGAATAATGTTGGAGACTGATTAGTGTGCCCGCCGCAACATAAAGGGGAGGCTCAATAATGGCTCCTATTACAACTAGTAAGGGAAGAGGGATCCTTTCAATCCTTCGGCTCCTGTTCAAATTAGTAAGAGAAGGGAAAGGATCAGAGCAATTACGAATTGAACTTGTTACATTCAGATCCAGAAAATAAGTAGGCCAAGCAAATTTCACTTTATTTGGCAGGGGCCAGAATAGTTTTCTGATAGCTTTACTTTATGGAGCCCGCCCAGACTAGTCAGGATCCAGGATTACTTTTTTCAGCTGAAGAACCCTAAACCCTAAACCCACATGTGCGGCGCCTCAAACCCACCTTGACCTCTTGTTCCTTGCTTAGGGTTTAGGCTTTTGGGACCCTCAGCCCCAAATCCTAGTCCCTGCATCTTCCTGTATGCCCCCATATGAGGTGAGGCCACAATCACTTGTTGGACCTCTGTTGTGCTTAAGGTAAGGAAGGCGTCCCCTATTAAGAAATAAGGGAACAGATTCCCTATATAATCCCTATACATTAGGTTCCCATATTCCCTACCCAAAACCCTAAACATCAAACCCTAAACCTTACACCCTACATAATATTCCATATTCCATACTGAGCTCCAGTAAGAACGATAACATGAACGAGCTTTGGGAAGGGCGCCGGACATCGTCAGAACCCTTCGCCTGATGAAATAATCCAAGCCCCCCCCATAAACCTCCGGGGTTCTAGGGTTCAGGGTTTAGGGTTCAAAGTTTAGGGTGTAGGGCTTAAGGTTTAGGATTTGGTGCCCTCAGATTGAGAGGGCAGGCACTAAATCCTCGAACCCTAAACCCTTGAAGCCTTACACCCTCAAAGCTGAGTGGCAGGATCCCGACCTGAGCGATGTGCTTCGTCCCCGATTGAATGGCCTCAGACGAGGTCAGTGAAGTAGGGTTTAGGGTTTAGGGTTTAAGGTTGAGGGCTTAGGGTTCAGAATTCAGGGTTTAGGCTTTAGGGTTTAAGGTTTTGTAGGGATCCACGTCTACAAATAATACTTACATTCGGCCCTCGAGTTTACAACGATTACCTACCTTAGGCTAGGGGCTTAGGGTTAGGGTTAAGGCTTCAGGGCTCACGGTGGGTGGTGTAGGGAAGCTCTCACCCTAAACCCTAACCCCTAAACCCTAAACCCTAAACCCCTAAACCCTAAACTCCCAAACCCTAAACCCTAAACCGTAAGCCTACTTTTAGGCTATTACGGGTAGGCTCGCTTCTCAAGTCCCAAAGGCTGCACATCAGCCTCTAAGAATTCAGATCCAGGGTTTAGGGTTTAGGAATTTAGGGCTTATGGTTTAGGAACTTAGGGTTTATGGGTTATGAATTTAGGGTTTAGGCATTTAGGGTTTAGGAATTTAGGGCTTTGGAATTTAGCGTTTAGGACCCATCGATACCCCTTCTTATTTTACTGCCTGCCACGTGATGAATCTGCCAGACAACTCAAAAGCTGCGAAACAAGTGACAACCGCTGACGCTAAAGTGCCACCTCGTCCTAGAATCTCTTGAACAACTTAAGTGAGATGACTGAGATGACCCCTTTATGATGGCAAAAGTTTTGTGTGTCAAGGGGTAGTAAGTAGCCCATGAAAAAACGGACCCCTCCACAAAGACTGAAGCCTCAACATCCACCTTAACATAATTACAACTACCTCTTGTGGTCACTATTATTAGTGGGTGGGGGCCCAACCTAAACCCTAAACCCCAAACCCTAAACTCCAATCCCTAAACCCTAAACCCCAAACCCTAAACCCCAAACCCCATTAATCTCCTTTTGCATCCCAAGAGCTAGCCCGGCGTGAAGCAAGCGATGCTCGAAGACCAGGGCGTAGCCTGCACTTTTCTCGAACCCCAAAAGTATGCGGGTGGTTGTCAAAATTATGGTCCCTTTTTGGGTACCCTAAATATTAGGTGCCGTATCATAATAGGGATCCAAAAAGGGACCATAATTTTGACAACCACCCATGTAGAAGAATAGCCTTTTTAGGGGTCTCATACCTACTTTGGGGGTTCAGGTAGGGTGGTCGGTATAGGGTAGAAGCTACCATAGGTTTATGGTTTAGGGATCCAAGTCTGAAAAAAATGCATCCGTTGGGTCCTAAGATCTGCAAATATTGCTTAACTTGACACTTGGGATCCTGAGGGCAAGAGCCCAATATAGAACCCAAAATATTTTAGTCCTTAATATAGGAACCCACCCAAAAAAGTACCCCTCTTGGGAAACTCCTGTATAGGTTTCGAAGTTAGGGTAAAGAGCGCAGGGCGTAGGGTTTAGGGCTTCAACTTCTGGCCATCTCGATGAGCCTGCCCAAAAAAGAGCCGGTTTTAGGGTTTAAGGTTTAGGATTTAAGGTTTAAGGCTAAGGTTTAGGGTTTAGGGTGGGTAAAAGCAACAAACCTGTATATTTGTATATGAGCTACAGTCTCAACTCCTAGCATCCCCCCGAATGCACCCTATGATACTCCCCTATAGAATCCCCTATAAACCCCACTTGAGGAGTCGAGACTATGGCTCATATATACATATACACAAATGCAGACATACACACTTGCATGTCATCCTGCAAACACGTAGGACCTTGCACATGTGGGACCTTATACATGCATAGGTATTTGCCAGAACATGGGAACCCCAATAAATGTTGACCCCAATATACTACCCATAATACAGGACGATTCAAAGAGGAAGTCCTGTTATTGGGAGCACCACATTCCCAGAGAGGACCTTGAACTGGGATCCATACTTTTGATTTCCGCATTTGAAAGACAGGGCCCCTTTCGAAATCCCAAGGTTCCAAGTACCAAAGTAATAGCATTTCAGCCACTATAATCTGAACGGTTTTTTGACAACGGAAACCCTGATGTTAGGGCCTCGGGTTATAGCATCCCAACTAGCGACTGGAATCTAATCCTGTTTTGGGGATTCCTCAAAAAAAGAACCTCGCCCCTCCCCCTCCCGTGAACCAATGCTTGATCTGATGATGGGGTCTAGGAGCCCCGTGAGGGAAAAGGGAAATTGGATTTTAGGGTATACTGGATTAAGCCGCTCTACACTTGCTGGCTGTGAGTAGGAGACGGCGTTTAGGGGTTGAGGGTTTAGGGGTTTAGGGTTTCGGGGTTTAGAGTTTAGGGTTTAGGGTCTTGGGGGGGGGAGAAAACCATCAACAACTGTATAAGAGCTATAGTCTAAACTTCTTAAAAGGGGTCATATAAGGGTTTAAGGTATAGGGTCTACACTTCTTTTCGGGGAGGGGATCTACTGTAGAAGTTCTTGGGGGGCGGGTACTAGGAGTTTAGACTATGGCTCCATAGCAAGGGCTACAATAAGGATCCAACCCTAAACCCCAAACCCTAAATCCTAAACCCTAAACTCAGAGCCCTAAACCCTAAACCCTAAACCTTAAACCCCAAACCCTAAACCCTAAACCCTATAATCCATACCTCCATACCTGGCTAGCAACCAGGAAGTACGGGGAGCAGAGGCCGACTTGGCCACACTCAGATATGCCTCCACTGTCCTCATAAATGAAGTTCAACCATCCTCGAGGGGCCTATGTGAGTGGTGCTTATAACATGTTATACCCAAAAGGAGGATATGTTCTTTCTAATTGGGTACTATCCCCAAATGAAATACTACTCATGTGGGTGTTACAAATGGATTACCGCGGTCGCCAATTGGAATTTGACAAGGGTAAGCTTGGCAAAATACTCCGATTACAGCTTGCCTTGGCAATTGCCCTAAACCCTAAACTTGCCCTAAACCCTAAACTCCCAGTCGCCTTGAGGAAGCTCCACATCTATGGCGGTGTCATCGTAGCTTCCTGACCGCAAGGTACTGGAAACCCCTTTCATCCCCAGCGTGCAAGCAACCAACCCTACACTAGCCCCAAGACGCTATTCCCTGGACCCTGAATACCTATATCTACCACATCCAGGATACCAATACCCTCCCCTCCCTATAGGATTTTGAGTTTCCCCTCTAAACCCCAGACAGCTTGAACTGATTATCCAGCCGCCGGACGGCTGTAAAGTGCAAATCGAACATCTTCAGCTTTAGGGTTTAGGGTTTCCGGGTAGGTTTTAGGGTTCAGGGGTGTGTTAGCCATCACGGTTTGTTTTTTCCTGGCTTTTCGTGTGCCCAAATGGGAGATCCTAGGAACTTTGCAACAAGCTGAAGACCCTAAACCACAAAGCCCACACAACAAAAAACAACAAACCCGGTGCCCGAGCTTCCACATATGGGATCACTGTTGATACAGAAGCCATAGACCCTAGTCCCTGTGTTTTGTATAGCTCCCACGAGGGTATCCCTGTACAAAACACCTACAACACACCAAAAAGATACTAAGGATGCCCTTTTCTGTCCATTCCAAAATACCTTGGACCCCCCCAAAAAAACGAAGAAGGGTCTTCTGGAAAACCCTGAGGTCCGCACCCTGAACTCTAAACCTTATAAACCCGAAATCCTAAACCCTGAAACCCTAAACCCTAAACCCTTAAACCCTAAACCCTTAAACCCTAAACCCTGAAACCCACTTCAAACCAGGGCCTGATGGCCAGAGTCGTGTATTGCCACCCCGGAGCTCGCCACGCTGGGACAGCAGGATCAGCAGCGTGTGACTTGAGTCATACCTTAGGTTGAGATTTAGGGTTTAGGGCCCCCACCCACTAATAGAGACCAGTGCTTACAGGAGAGTGAATCGAAGCATATTTGGGGTTTCTGTGAAAGGTAGCCATCCGCCCTTAAGCCCAACCCTAAACCTCAAACCCTAAACCCTAAACGTCACTAACCCTAAACCCTATATGTCACTGAACCCTCAACTCTAAATGTCACTAAGCCCTACACCCTAAGTATCACTAAACCCTAAACCCTAAAATGTCACCAAACCCTAGATGTCATCAAACCCGAAGCCCTTAACCCTTGACCGGTAACCGTTGCCCTAAATAAACCCCAAACCCTAAACCCCATGACTCAAGTTTGCCAAGGTGCCGCTCCTTTCCCTCTCCAGCCTGCACCGTCAAAGAGTCTGCCTGATCCTGATCTCAAAGGTCTCGCAAGGAAAGGATACCCTAATCTAGGGTTTAGGGTTTAGGGGTTTGGGGTTGAGGTTGTAGGGCTTAGGCTTGAGGGGTTTAGGTTTTGGGGTTCAAGTTTAGAGTTTTGGGTACCCTAAAAACACCTTGGGATAAAAGAGGGATTGCAAAAGACAGTCAGGGTACCCTAGAGGCTTGCGTGGGGATTGTCTTAAGCTCATCCCATCTGGTTTCTCGGTTAGGGCAAGTCTAGTTGAGTGGTCTAAACGACTATTATTCTACCTATTTTGTGCTTTTTGTACTATGGCACAGCATGAACCCTGTACCCAAAAACCCAAACCCCAAATGAAAGCATCAAAGAAACGTAGTGGGCCGAGAAGAAGTCCCCAGCATCGTAGCGAGCTATGCGCCAGTTGGGATGGATCCTTAATCGCTAAAGACTGGCCCTGTCATAAAATGTTCAGCACCTGTGGTTAGGGATTAGGGTTAAGCCAATTACAAGTTAATTTGTATAGATTGTTACATTACCATTTAAGGTGAGGTCGGGTGAGGTCGTTATAATGGGCCCAGTATAAAGTTTAGGGTTTGGGGTATACTAATTACCCTAAATAACTCTTTGGGTTTAGATATGGACCCCAAACCCTAAAAACCCCTAAACCCCCTAACACCCCAAAAAGGTGAGGGTATACTGTATACTACCCTAGGAAGCCCAAACGACTCTTTGGGTTTGTATAGGGACACTAAACCCTAAACCCCATAAACTTCCTGAACCATCTAACCCCCTTGAACCCTAAACCCCCTAAAACCCTGAACCCTAAACCCTCTAACACCCTTAACCCTCAACCCTGAACACCCTAAATCCACTAAACCACAAAAAGGTAAGACCCAGGATCCCGCGAACACAGGTATACGGCTTGGTCTCCTCCACAGCTCCTGAATTTGTCTCAAACCGCAAAGGACTTGCCTTTTTGGGTGGTTGAAGCGAGTCAGAGTCTATTCCTACCTGAAAAGACCACAGCCAAAAGGATAATAACACCTTTCTCTATACCCCAGAGGGTCCACATATACAACCATTAGGGAATTGGGACCCAAAATACCATACTATAGAAGGAATTATGGGTCCCAATTCCCTAATGGTTGTATATGTGGACCCTCTGGGTACTGCGGACTATAGGATGCCATATAAACCCTATTCAGGGCTGAGGTTGTCATGAACCCCATGAAGCCAATGCTTTACGGGGTAGTGTCTCAAGCTTCATGAAAGTTAGCAACTTCTTGAACCATAGCCTTATTACTTATAGTTGGGTCAACCAAAATACGCTCAGTTAAGGGGCTTCTGAATTAGGGTATAGGCCCACTTATAAGCTATAAGCAGTCACCAATTCCCATGAACCTCCTTATATGCGAAGGGTTGCGGGTTAGTTTCCAGAAGACCCAAGTGAGCTGGTGTCAAGATTGCTGCCATGCATGGGCATGGTTCTATCCATCCTAAGCCGCAGCCCTAAATCCAAAAATCGAACCTCTTAATCCCTAGCCCTAAATCCTGGCCCCTAAATTCCAAAGCTTAAATTCCAAAGCCTCAACACTAAACACTGAACCCTAGACCCCAAGCCCCTTTTCTGCAACTCCCTGATGATGTCGAAGCAAGCATCCAAGGAGGGCCTCGGGCAAGCGCTTCGCGACCCGCTCTGCAAGTTCAGGATTGCCTCAGATGCCAGGACTTGGGGGTTTTGCGGCTTTAGGGTTTTTGTGTTTTTCGGGCTTTGGTGAGTTTACGGCGTTGTTCTTCCATATACCTCTAGTATATACAGCCTCTTTATCCAAGGCATCTTGTAGAAACTAAATTAAGAGGGTCTCGCTTTTTTACATCAAGGGAAAACGTTAAATCCCTTGCCACTTTAACCCTGAACCCTAAGTCCCCCAATAGAGGTCAGGGATTCAATCTTCGGGCCTTATACACAGTATCTATAGTCAAGTTACACATCTTCACTCAAAACACTCCATCATTAAGTTCCCCACATCGGTCATAAAAGGTCCAACCAAACCTATGGCCCTTTTCAAAGCAAGCTTTATGGGGCTTCCCATGTTAGGTTGCCACCTCTGGGAATGTTCATCATTTCGAGGTGAGGGTGGCTGATTTGTAAGGAACAAAAACTATGAACTTTGGGGATTCAGGTGTTCGGTTTCACGATCTAGGTTAAAGATTTGTATACCCCGCTGCCCCTGCATGTTGCTTAAAAACCCTCTACGTTCCCTCCAGAAACCTCACAATAATGAAAGGTTGTCAAGAAACCTAAGCCCGATACCTTCAGGCAACCCAAAACAGGCAATAATTTCGACAAGCACACTAAGCCCTAAAACTCATAGGCTCCTACTTAACCTTGACGTTACAGCGCTATTTAAAGAAAGTTACAGTAGTTGGCGGTCCGCTTGCTTGTGCGGAGCCCTGTAACTCCTCCAACTCCGCTGGGAGGCTCTATCCCAAACCTCGGTGTTGGTGTTCAGGGATTTAGGACTTAGGGTGTAGGGTTCAGGGTTTAAGGTTCCGGATTTAAGATTTAGGGTTTCCTCCCTAAATTTCCCAAGCACCCAGAGCAAGGGCCTTTAAGATTAAAATTTATGGATCCGCCATTGTTCTGTGGTATCTGGGAGATCTGGGTAGGGATTCGTGTTTTGGTTAGCCGGCGGGTTTTAGGTTGTAGGCCGGATAGGCGTATTGAGCGCAGGTTGGGGGCTTTGTAGGTGTTGAGGGTCAGGTGTTGAGGATTGGGCTTCAGGCTTCGTGCCTAGGATGTAGGTCCTAAACCCTAAGCCGAAAACTCTTGTAGTCTGGATAGGGCTTGGGATTTCTGGTAGGCTTCCGGGCTTGTTGTATCCCAAGGCTTAATGTAGGAGATGTAGCAGTGTGGAATGAAGAACATAATGGGGCTTCGGAGTGTAAATTGCACAAGAATTATACAAGGCTTCCAAGGGACCATTTTGGCAGATTTCTTGGTGATATCCAGCCAGCCAAGTACCAACGAAGATCTAAAGAAGTGTCAGTGTCCTCCTGCACTGTCATAGCTTATCGCATCCCTGCTGAAGCTGAAGCCTCTTCTCGACGTACGGTTGAGTGCTTGAAGAAACTATGGACCCTCAACGGAAGATCCTGAACCCCAGCACTCAAAACTCAACACCTGCAGCCCGTAAACCACAAATGACCCCCACAACGCCTTCTAATCACCCCAACAGTAACAATAGCCCACAACGGGCCCTGAAACCTAAACCCTGGACCCCCAAAGCCAACACTCTTACTTACCTGCACTCTGACCCAGACTCTCACAATCCAAGCACCTGAACCTCAAGCATAAACCCCTGAAACCCCGAGTTCCTACTGATTCGAAGCTGTTAAAGAGCTAGCTCCTAAACCCTGACCCCTTAGCAGCCTTAGCATTACCTCTACATCTTTAGACCCCAAATCTCTTTGCCCCTTTGCTGCCAAAACCCGGACCCACAACCACTTCATAGTCCCACCACATGCTGAGGATTCCCCAGGACCCTTGCGTTCAGAACACCCCACTCCCCCCCCCGCCCCCAACCCTAAATCCCAAAATTTCACTTAAACAAGCAATCCCATACTCTCCTGCTTTCAAGCTCAGAACCAAGTCTAGACCCTAAACCCTTGAGCCTCCTACGTAGTTCACAACATCTATATGGTCCTTTTAATGGAACGAATATAATTTATAGAACCCCCTGTATATCCCTACATTACCCCTTTTTAGAACTCCTATGTAAGCATTATACAATTCGTAGAAGCCTGAACCCTAAAACCCCCCAATTCAAATTGGCGGCTCTTCACCCATGCGGACGACGTCCGAGCACTCATCGCTGCTGAGCAGCAGGGGAACCACCCACGCTCGGCCTCACATAGGGGATATAATGGGGCTATCGGGACTATATAGGGATTAGGGATTAGGGCTTAGGGTTTGAGGTTATATATGAAGTATGTAGGGATAAATGGTGCTATAGGGATTATATAGGGATTAGAATGTGCGGGTTTTGGTAGGTTTCTTGTTGCGAGACCTTTTTTTTCTTGTGCAAAGCCGGATGTTGTAGTGACACCATGGGGCCTACAAGGCTTTGGGAGGAACTACTTGTGCTTGTTGATTGCGTGTTTGCGGATTCTAATGCGGCACGAATGGATTATTCACTATTCAAGTGGGATTGGGATTTGGGCCCCATGTGGCAGACTTAGGAGTTCAAGGATTATAAGGGATTGGGGTTCAGGGTTGGGGCGTGTTTGGGCTTAGAACGGGGAATCTAGGTGAGGTGATGGCAGTAGTCGGACCCATGATACTTGCTGGAACCCTCGCCGTTCACTTCAACACCAACTGCCCTTTCTATGCCCTAAGCTACTCCAAACCTTAAACCCTGAAAGGGGAACATACGGCGCATAGCCTGCACCCTACTTCCTAAGCCGCAGTTCCTGGTCCGAAATGGCAAGCCAAAACCCCAGCCCCTCGTGTAAGGACCCAAATAGGAGCATGTGCTGCTGTAGTTATGTAAAGATTATGAGGGAATAGCATTCATATTTATTCAGGCTTCTGCATGAAACCAATACTTTGGAGGACATCCTCTTCGAAAACACATGAGGGTAGTTTCCATAAATAGGGGCCTCTAAGAAGACCCAAACATATTGCAACCCTTACTGTAGGGAATCCAAAAAAGGGAACTGTACTTCTTGGAAACCCCAATCCTCTTCCCTAGCCTTCATTTCATGTTCCATTTTCTTGTCCATTTGATTCTCCAATATTGGGATATATATCTTTAAGCCCTTTACCTTACCTTAATATCCTTAACCTACCTTACATAATCCATATATGTATATATATATATATTCCCCATAATCTCTTTGAAGCCCTTTTATCTATTTTACCGAGCGCCGCCCCAGAACCAGGCAACACGGTGGTGATGCCATCACTGAAAATCTCTCGGCCCAAGCCGCCCACCTAAGCTTTCAGTGTTTGGATAGGGTTTAAGGTTTAGGGTTTGGGGTGGGCTGGGGTTTAGGGTTTAGGGGTGTCTCTGGTTTAGCATTGTCTTTGCCGCTGAATGAGCATTAGTCTTGTCTTCCCCTTGGGTATTGGAATTCCTCGTGACGAAAAATGTTTTCCGACAAGGAACCCAGCGGTAAATCATACAAACACTGAACCCCAAACCTCCAAACCTCGTCAACCCCAAAGAACCAAACCCCTGCACCGAAGCCCTGAACCCTAAACCGACACAGTGACAATCTGCGGAGCGGGGACGGCAACCTGCTCCCAATAGGTCTGCTGAAGGGTCTCCTGGCGACGGTGCTAAAACTCTCAAGGGCCTTGTAAGGGTGATGCAGGAGTATGTGTCTCGCGGCCATATAGAATTTCATGGTGTATATACATATATACATATATGTACATAATGGTGTGTGTGGCGGTATGTATTGGTTTTAAATACGGATATGTAAGGATCTGCATTTGCCTGGACAAGCACTTGACTACTAGGCCTACTTCGCAACAAAGGTTATGCGGCTTGAAGACTCTCCACAGCATCAACTATAGATAATCAAGCAGGGTCGTTGAGGGTTTGGGGTTTCGGGCTTTGGTTAAGGTAGGGGTTTGTTGCTTCCCATCGAGAGTAAACGCTTCCTCAATCCCAACAAGAACACTTCATGTGCAAAAAAAAAAAAGTGGGTTCCCACACGGAGCCTGGATTCTAATGTGGACGCTTCTCGGGGCTTAGAACTTGGAGAGATAAACTTCCCGAAAAGGATATGGGTCGTGAGCTTTCGGATGCTTGGCGTGTCGTGTTTTCTGGTTTGAGATGGGGGCGTTGGTTCGGCAATACGACGCACATGGCTGACATAGCTAACCCTGATACATTGCATCACAGACTCCTTGCTGCGCGGAGACATTGGCTTGGGCAGCTTGATCCCCACAGGCTTGAAAACAGCTGCTGGAGCGGGCGGTGTTGGACGAAGCTGCAACAAACCCGCTGCCAAACGAGAAGTGGGAGGGATTGGATGTTCAAGGTCTGCGACGATAGCCTGGACCATGACATAGGTTTCAGCGTTGACAATAAATTCTGAAAATTGAAGGATAGGGGCCCAAGTTCTGATTTTCTGAATTAAGCTTGAAAGAACAAAACTCGAAATGCATCTCCAGTTGCCATCTTCCTCTCTGAGGAGGCGATCATTCGAGGGTCATCGTGGTAGTCGAGTGCCGCCATGTCGCGCAGGGTATCTCTCAGCTGTACACAGGCACCCTGCAGAGGATTGACCCCAAAATTGCTGCAGCATTTGATCTTCACAGCCAGCAGCCACTGCAACGCAAGTCTTACGTGCTACAGTCATGATTCTACATATCATTTTCACTATTTTTGCCGCTACTTCCGCTAAAGACAGTTTCAGCTAGTAAAACATGTGACCCTGCTTTGAGAGGACCTTCCCACCGAAGTATGCTGATGGAGTCTAAACTCAAGACCCCTACACCTGTCAGCAAGACCATATCTCCAGAGAAAACTGCGTTATAAGGTGCCTCAAATAGGCTTCAAAATGGCATTTTTTTTATACAAGCCCGTACATTACATAAGCCGTTCACACAAGTTTTGTAGAAACCAGTGCCCATGGCATTGTCCATTTTTTGTCCGTTTCATGCCGCATCATTCTGCACTATCGCGATTTAAAAAAGGCCCCTACATTGTACATCCTATGGGATGCAGCATAGGAACCCAGGACCGGCCAAGCAGGCCGACCCAAACTTGCATGCTCAACCCCATATCCCAAACCTTCACGGTATGTCCTAAAAACCTAAACGTTAGACAGCCTAAACCCCAAACCAAATCACTAAGCTAAACAGTAGACCCGGAACGCTAGCCTGAAGTCTAAAGCCAAAACGCGATCGTAAAGCTTAATCCCAAAACATCAGATGGACGCGACACGGTGGCCGAGCGCGGCGACGCACGCATCAGCGTGCGAAATGTAGCGAAGGCATTTTCACTGAGCTTCGGGGTTTAGAGTGTATGGCTTAGGTTTGAAGGTTTGAGGGGGGCTTTCCGAAGTTTAACGTTCCTTTATAGCGGGAAAATGCTGATATAGAAAGTGTATACCGTCTGGGGTTTCCAAACTTTTGGGAACTTTTTCGAGGGTCCCTAGGCAAGGGCTAAAATCTTTGGTGGGTATGTTGGAGCCCTTACTCCTGAATCTTTACACCAACTTTAGTTTTGTAGCTTCAGCAAAAACGAATTTAGCATAGACTCCATTGTTCCTCTAGCTTTGCAAAGGTTGTGTCATTTTTGCACACCAGCATCAAAAGTACGATCTAGGCCCCTCGCATTAAGCAAGTCAGGAAACCGGATTTCCAAAATCCTTACATACTAATGTCTATGACGCCCAAGGTTTTTGGAACCCCCCTGTGCAGGATTGTTGGGATCGGGCAACTTAAACGCACACACTCATTGCTGCAGCAAACCTTTGGATTAACAAAAACGCTTACGTTCCTCCTAAACATGGCATGTTGTGCCAAGTAATGCCCCCCCCAAAGCACCAGCTCGCATCGAAGTCCCGGAGTCCATCTTCGCACTATACTTAAGCAGGATTTGAAGCTAAGCCCTATTGGGGTTCCAAAAGCACAGGGCCACAGCCCTCAAACATTATGGGGATTGTAACTTTCCTATTCTTCGGAAACACCTCTATACCCTAATCGCTCAGCCCTAAACATAGGCCCTAGTCATAAAACGACCGAAGCGCTTGCCAATGCAAGCTGCCCATGCATCTCGAGGACCATCACGGATTCATCTCACGCAAAGCGACCTTAGGTTTTGGGCGTTTAGGTTTTGGGGAAATGTCTTTATCGATTCGGGCTTAGGCAGGTTTAGGGTTTGGGCTTTAAGCTGTAATCTTTAGGGCGTTGGGTTCTGAGTAGGGGGTGGAGACCGGGATGCCTATGGCAGCGCGTATGTAATGATATCGAGTAGTGCCTCTCACCGACTCCTTCATTCCCTAAAAGCCTCCCTGAAGCCTAGCCCGAACAATGAAGTAGTTTTTTCCACCCCCCTGTAAACCCCTATATAGCCTAAAGCCGTAAACCCTGAGCACAAACTGTTTTCATCCTTCATTCCCCACAAGCCCCCCTGAGCCAAATAAATCCCTGGGAACCTATAACGCCACTGTGCAAACTTGCGCATCCATTCCTATTTACATTTTCGCGTTCATTTCTTCACTCGAACCGCCGCGACACTTAACCGTGAAGCGTAAACCAGTCACTGGCTTTTAAAGGATGTTTTGTTGCCGAGGGGGTGCCTGGCCCTCTGCTCCAGAAAAAGACGAATCTTCACTAACTCAACACTCTATCAGAGTTGTAGCTGTAATGGCACTTTGGCCGAAGCTTTCACCGAAGGTGGGACTCATAGATGAGATTGCCCGCCGGGTCGTAGTAAAAGCCCACAGCCTGCTGACTGGAATCAACAAACAAGAACGCAGATTCGTCGCTTTTGCAGTGACAAAGCCCGTGTAGGAACAGGAGCTATGACCTGGCGAGCGGGCAGGACAAAAAACAAGCAGTAAAAACAAACAGCCAATGCAAAGACACACAAGCGAGCGCGGCACGACCGTTAACCGGCAGGACGGTCACCAAGAAGCCAAGGCCCTGGCAAGCAGGACGCGTACGAAACGCCGACGACGGGAGCAAGCGCAGCACAAGAACAAGCGCGTGCCAAGGAAGCCGCTGTGAGCATCTCGTGAGCAAGAGCAGTAAGCCTGGAAGCGAAATGCAGCGAACACAGCAACAGCCCCAGTTCAAACAAGCACTCAGCACTGGACTGTTTCTTCTGCTCGTCCCAGCGCGCAGAGCATGTGTTCAGCTTGCTCCGCTTTGACACGAACCCGCGTGCCTCAAGCGCAATAACTGCACCCCCTCCCCCCCACCCTTTGCAAGCCCTCGCAACAGCTAAGTCCCATGCCCCGCCGTGATGCATGGCAAGAGATAATGGCAGTACAACTCCAGACGAGAGTGCATGCTACTGTGTGATCCATCAACTTGCAAACTTGCAACGCTTGAAGCCTAGAGCCTTATGACCGAACCATGCCTGCACACTCGGTGGGTCTCCCGCCGGCGGGCCCACTTGTCCTCAAAGAAAAGCAGCTGGTGCCGCCAAATGCCTCCGAATTTGAGATATTCCAGAGTCTTTGGATTTTGCATCTGAAATTTTGTAGCACCCACTTGCAATTCGCGTAAGACTCAAACCCAATCAGGTAGGTGACGCGGAGAGGAGGCTTGAGGTTATGGCCATGTCGACATGTAACAAAATTTCATAGACTTGCACACGCGCAGACACATTCGATTAAGAACTCGACCTGCCGCAGCAGCCACAGATTTGCCTGATTCTGACATGAATGACAGCACTGAGGGCACCACAACGAGCAGCGGTTATCCAACCAAGTCGAAAAAGAAGAAAATGGAAGTAAGGCCGCATCAGGCTTTGTACGACGGCGTGCCTGCGGCAATACCAATAAAACACACAAGAAACCTGTCACGACAGGAGAAAAACTAACAAAAACGCAAAATACACGCTGAGAAGTGAGCACGTGGACGATTCCGGAGACGCCAAACCTTGCATGTCATTCACAGGCATGCTACCTGAAAGTGAAGCGCAGGATATCGACATGACTGCCAAAACACCTCCTGCTGCCAGAAGAGCCTGAGAAGGACAAGAAGGACGAAAAGGGCTTCGTAGCCCAAACATATGCCATAACAGCCCCATGGCTCTAGGATAACGACGCGTGTTTCTCTAGATAGTGAAATTTCCGCGTGCTAGTCTTGTGCCCCTTGTTTACGGTAAAAGAATAGGACTTACTTGCGAATGCGGATGGGGGTGACATTAGGACAGGAGCCTCCTCAGAGGCCCGATGGAAACCGTCAGGGCCTTATGCGGCGTATGCGCAACTACTGCATACAGGGTGATAGGTGATGTCAAGCTGTCACTTCAGAGTTTTCAGGCTGGCACCTTTTTGGCAGGCTTCCGTTTCAGCTCCTGACCTCTCACGCAAACCCTGGCCAACATTATGACAACGCAGCAACATAGTCACCTCAGCCCATCACAACTGACAGAACAGCTAAATACTGTCTATCCCACTGATGAGTACAGAACAACTGGTAAATTGGTATTGAGGCAGTAGCCCATCATAGTCTGTGATTGTGCCTGCTGACATACAACGTGCAAAGTTGGCATGGTGGAGTAAGGGAGTCAGCCCGTGCACACAATGACTTTTTTCGTGTTCATTCAGTCATTCCTACAAACCTCACCAAACCCTGTGATGTCCCTATAAAACCATACTGTATCCATAAACCACCCTGAAACCTGACCCTAACAATGCAGTAAAAACTTCCATGTTTTTATCCATCCTTTTAAAATGATGAAGACTCAAACCCTAGATGATACAATAGCCCTCAATTTGTTTGGCCATTCCTTCATTCCCTTATAGCACCCCTACCCCCAAAAATCAGTACTATCCCTATACCTATAGAACCCCATCCATTAGCCCTAAACCTTCCATCCAAAATTCTAAATAGTGGTTTCCATGTTCTTTTCCATTACCTCTATATAGTAAGCCCTAAACGGAAGGCTTCTCATACTACAAACAGAAACCCAGTTTCCGTTTCATTGTCCATTTGACATTCCACTGTTGAGAGTACTAGCTGCCACTTTCTTTCCCGAAGCCCAAAACCCCAAAACCCCAAAACCCCAAAACCCTAACCTCCAAACCCCTAACCCCCAAAATCCTAAACTCGTAAAGCCTGAAGCCTAAAGCCCTAAACCCTAAACCTCCTAAACCACGAAAGCCTAAACCCCCTAACCCCTACAGCCGTAAACACTACCGAAAGCGACATGCTTGGCCAACTCGAGGGCTTCGAGGAACACCACCGGCACGCCGGGAGACTTCTCCTCCAAGGGCAAAAACATCCGACGGCATCGTTTAGGGTTTAGGTGGGCCTTAGGGGTTTAGGGGGTTGGGGGCCAGGGTTTAGGGTTTGGGGTGTCCAAGTACCTAAATACTACGTAATTAGGGCTCAAAGTGAATTCACTTGGGCCCAAACTAATTTTTGAGTACTTGGAGGGTTTCTTGCCTTGAGGTCTGGGGTTTCAATTAGGGGCTTGAACTCCGCAACTTGTACCATGCATCCTTCAAAGCCTGCATCCTCAACCCTGGTCCTTTGCATCATGAGTCCCAA